TTTGATCATTATTATCTATTATTTTTGACCTCTCTACCGGCTCAGCCGTGCGTCCGACACATAAAGTAGTAGTATCAAGTTGTAGTAGTAGTAGATCATGATCACATTCATTGCAGTATCTTTCTTGTTGTCAAAGCCATGGTTGATACCTTCGACCCGCAACAGAGGGAAGCCTACTATCTTATCATGACAAGCATATGCCAGGAGCCGCCGAACGCAAAATCCTTCTTTTTGACTGGATACGCTGGATGTGGCAAGTCACATGTGCTGCGAACTCTCATTAACAACCTACCCAACAAGTTCAAACCAATAGTGCTAAGCTGGACAGGGTTAGCTGCGAGCCTTTTGCCACATGGAACGACGGTGATGTCCTTCTGTGGGCTGGGCTTTGATTCCTCAGGCCTGGTGGGCAGGGTTGGTTATTGCGTGAAAAATACTCATACTTTTCATGAATGAAACAAACGGCTTGAATTGAACGAAAAAAACGGAAAAATTGAAAAAAATCGGGCGCGCGCGAATTTCTTTTTCCAGCGTGACTTAGTGGACAATCTCGGTAAATTTCATCATGCAAGGTCAATCATGGAACCTCCAGTCACAAAGGGACTGGTGGTGAAACAGGTTTGACCGGTCAAAATCCACGCCGAGCAAGCTCCGACTCCGGGCGGAGAGCAGAAATGCGCCGCTCCAGAACACAATTGTGTTTGCGTGCATAGCTTGAAATCGATCAACCATTGCAGCGGGTGCAACATAATCAATTGCATGTTGAGCAAGCTGACAGAAACTCGTATCTGTCAGCTTAACTCAAGAGACAAGCAAGGGCTTGCTCTTCACGGTTCGTAGACCGTCTGTGAGGTGACCGATCGCTCGGGATGGTCACCTCCCGCCCCTTGGTTGGGTGATCTGGGCTCGGATGCCCTTGTGACAGGTTATTCACGATGATCCGGGGTTTTACGCAGCCTCGTCTCTTCAGTGATTTTACTTCTCCTTATGGCAGATCGAGACATCTCCGAACGAGAATCAGCTGCCGCTCGAGAGGCAGTCGTCAACGCTGCTCGCCGAGTCGAAGAGTCTATCGGGTCAAGGTCGAGAAGGGCGTCTCATTCTTCGGTCCCCGCCGCCTCCTTTACCGCCACAAGCAACAACAACAACGACGATGATGCCAACAACGACAATACCAACAACACTACTGATATTGCCAACTCTAGCCCCTCAAACGTTCAGGGAGGCGCAAACAACGGCATCGAGCATGCCGCTAACGAGAGTCGTGAGGAGGCTCCCATCGACAACGCCAACGAGGCTGATGGGGACCCTCTTAATGCTGGTCTCACCTCCTCGTCTCTTCATGACAAGCTGTGGGATAGGGAGGTGATCCAGGTCATCCACAACCTCACCAGCGGGGGAGG